GTATTTTTCTAACTTTTTTTTTATAACTAGAGGCCTTGTGCACCAGTGGGGTCCCTTGGCCTGGCTGGGTATCAGAGCCAATTGGGGCCTTCTCGCCCAGTTCCAATTAGGGCTGATGGGGGCCAGCTGGCTGGGGAGGGACTGTGGGGGGGGGGGCGGCTGCAGGGCATGTCTGGCCCTTCTCGCCCAGCTCTTATCAACCAGACCCCAGCAGCAAGCTAACCTACCGGTTGGAGAATATGCCCACGGGTGGTCAGTGCGCATCATAGTGATTGGTGAAATGGTTGAATGAATAGTCAAATGAACGGTCGGACACTTAGCATATTACACTTTTGTTATATAGGATAGCTTCAGTAGGCCATTATTACAAGAACTAGAATTTTTACCTTGACAGGAGGATAGGAAAATGGATGAAAGCTCAGGTCATGGAATTTAAATTCCATCTACTTCTCTTCCCAGTTGTGTTGCCTTGGTAGTTACACTCTCTTTAGTTGATAGTTTTCTCATTTAGTAAACAGGAAATAATGTTTCAGAGTGTTTTGAGGAATATTAAGTGGTGTAATAGATGTGATGCATTTTGCATGGTACCGGGTCCAGAGGGACAGTGCATTACTCTCAAAGAGGCTGACTTTACTGTAGGTGGGCTGGAAGTTGGGGCTTTTGGTCACATAAACAAAGATGATTTATCATTTTCATCTAGTTTCAGGATAAACATCCTGTTTGCAGAACCACTTTGCTACCAAAATTCTGCCATGCCTGATGGCTCAATACTAACAAGAGTGATTTACTGCAATTGTTGACTAGCATTCCATAGAAATGCTGGGTTGTTTGTTATTGTCCTTCAATGTTTATAATTTCAGTCTGCCCCTCAATTTTATAACACTTTACTACTACACTCCAGTAATCAACTGCTTAAACATCATCTTTCTTAAGTTGTTTTTTGAAAGAATAATTTTAAAATATATACATAAACAATATATTAACTTTCATAAATTTAATCCATTATCTTGTTAAACCTTTAGAACTCGTGCAAATGGAAAACCAGGTGTTTTACCTCATTTTTTTAATGAGAAAATTGACGTTTGAAGTGGTTACATAACAAATACAACACTTTGCTGCACCCTGTGGAGATATCATATATCTAACACAGTATTTGCTTATTTTGGCCACCTTTGAGTTCATTGTTGATCTTCTGGTAATAAAATATAAACATTGTAATCTACGTATGCAGTCTGTGGTGGTCACTATTTTATCCACAGATAAACTAACCTTTGAATAGTTTAAAAGTTGGCTTGAAATCATATTGTCAAAATCTATATTGGTTTTCATTGGTTTGCTTGATTTAACACTCAACCTTGTTAGCTTACTGTTTTCCATTGTGACTATACAGAGAACCTGACAAGGGAAGTTATAATCTGAGGCACTGTTTGCCATTCATAAAACACTTTTATGAGTCCAAACTGTTATAGCCAACTGTATATAGTGATGCACAAATACAGCATGGTAATGCAGTACCTTTTAGCATTATGCTTCCAGTCTCCAAACAGGCAAATATTTCTTTGGATTTTAAGAATTTCTGAATGCTATTCCCTTTTATGAGGTGCATGCATAGCTAGTGTCAAGGTGTTGTGGGGTGACAAAAACAGCACCAGGTGTTAAATACATAGGATCAGACCGGGACCTTGGTACTGGAGTTCTGGCTAGGAAAAAATTCAAAGCCAAGATTCAAACTCTAAGAGAACATTTATTTAGAAAATCACAGAGGAAGAAGAAGTAATTCCTAGAAGAAATAGGCTCAGGAAACAAGTTATAGAGGTAAGGAGCTTAGAGGTAAGGAAGGTAAAGGCGACATGCCTGTGGAGATAGGTTAGGGAGGGAGAGAAAAAAGGCATGGGTGTACTCCCAGAGGGAGAGTGCACTGGGCCTCCCTCTGTCCTAAGTGTTTTTTGGTGATGGTGGTGGTGGTTTTTTGTTAATCTTCACCTGAAGATATTTTCCCATTGATGCTTAGAGAGAGAGGAAGGAAGAGAAGGAGAGGGGAGGAGAGACAGAGACAGAGACAGAGAGAGAGAGAGAGAGAGAGAGAGAGAGAGAGAGAGAGAGAGAGAGAGAGAGAATATGAGAGAAACACATCCATTGGTTGTCTCCTGTCTTCCCATATTTGCCCCGGCCAGATTGAGCCTGCAATCAAGATGTGTGCCCTTGACAGGAATCTAACTCAGGACCCTTTACTCCCCTAGCTGATGCTCTAGCCACTGAGCCAAAGCAGCTAGGGCTGTCTTAAGGGTTTTATTTATTTATTTATTTATTTATTTATTTATTTATTTTTATTTTTTTAAATCAATCTTTATTGTTAATATTATCACAAAGGTTCCTCATTTCTTCCCCCCTCCACCAGGTTCCCACCCCACCCTCCGCCCCCTCCCCATCCCCCATTTTCCTCATCCATAGGTGCACAGTTTATGTTCAGTCTCTTCTTCCCTCCCTTTCCCCAATAGTAAATCCCTTTTCAGATAGTAAATCAATTACTTAGCATTTTCTCATATCAATAATACCTCCACATGCCCAATGATACACTTCACACAAAAGACATTTCCCAATAGGTCAACTAGCCTCATCCAGTCCCCACCCAAGGCACTCACAGATCAACACCCCAGCCCTATACTAACTCAACACATCCAGATCTAAGCCTTCATGTCTTAAGGGTTTTAAAGGTAGAGATTTTAGGGGAGATCCTAGGGGAAGATCTCAATAGAATATTCAGCAGCTTTCCAGGTGTGTCCTTTCAGGGCTGTGATTTATTGGTCAGCGCCTGGGCAGGGGCTCATTATTCAATTAGTCTAGTCCTGAGGTCAGCTGTGGGGAAAGGGGTGGAGGTGGGAGGGGGAGCCCTTGTCTGGTTTTGCTGCTTATCTGGGCCTGGAGCTGAAATACAACTGAGGCCTAGATGTTATCTCTATTGTAGAAAAGATCAGGGGGTCCAAACCACATGACCAGTGATATGCTAGGGGAGGAAAGGTCACCCTGGGGATGAGGTCCCACCTACAATTGTCCTTTGCTAGCACCCAAGGATTTCCTCCCTGGTAACCTGTACCTGGCCCATCATCCTTGCACTGTCCATGTCTGTCGAACTGCCTACCGCAAACATAGGAAACATCCAAATCTACAAGAATTTTTTTATGAGTTTATTTGAGACAAACTGACAATTGCCAGGAAGCATAATCTCAATGGAATGAGAAAATGCTCCAGGAAATGGCAGTTTTACCACTTATTTTATACGTCAGAATCAAAGGGGAAGATAGAAGGGGGGTTACATGAAATACATTAGTGACAAATAAGGAAGGGGAGAGAGAGCAAAGCTGGGAAATCTCTCGGATAGGGTAAAAAGGAAAAGGGTAGACACACGCTTCCTTTACATAGGTGGCTAAAGAATAGTTAACAGTTAACAATTGACATGATAATAATGACAATGAGAGGATTTGTGGGTCTCTGCTCTGGTGCAGTGGTTGTGCTTTGAGAGGTCCAGAAAAAAAGAGGAAATAATTACTTTGATATTCCAAAGGTACATTATCAGGTATGTTATTGTAGATGCAAAAAAATAATTTTTTTTTTTGATGACAGGCAGCCTCAGTTAAGGTAAAGACTGACCTTTGTTAGGGAAAAATACCGGCCCTGACAACCCACCCAGAGCTGCTTTGGTAAGGCCGCTATGTAGACCTCCCCTGAGCTTGTCAGGTTTAGGATGTGTCCCCTTTTTATTCACATTAGGCAGGCAGGGGATTTTACAAACTGACTTGTAAGATCAAGACAAATCATACATTAATTTCAGAACTCAGTAAGCCCCGGGTTGTGTACCAACTACCTGAATCTCAAGAGGCCAAGTGTCACAGATTGCTGATAGTTCATCAAAGCCACATACGCTTTAGATTTAGTATTTCGGTTCTACATGTGTCTCAAAAGTGTTATCTTCATGATTCTTTTGGTTTACTTCACAGTAAGTATAGTAACTTCAGTTCATAAAAGAGAAGAGAAAGTACTTTAAACAAAAAGAGATGTTAGTGCATGTGTCAGAAGACAACACTGATGGTTTTTGTGCTTTCTGAATTTGTTGGGAGAGCTCTGATTTCTGTGACTGTGGTATCCCCTTAGCCTGGCATTTCACCACATATAAAGTTTTTAGCAGAACGCGGATTTCATGAGTGTGTAACTTGTCTACACTTCCCTTTTTTAAAAACCCTGGACATACTGCAGATAAAAAAAAATGACGATTGCTTTTTACATTGCACTTTACAAAATGAAAATGTAAATTCTTTTCAGATTTGTTTCAGAACATTATAAGCCTCAGGAATGTTCATTGATATAAACCCACATAGATTAAGCTATTTAGAGATTTAAGATAAATGGGCACCACTTTGCCGTTGATTTGGTAATGAGCAAGCAATTCAGCACATTCTGCCATAAAGCATTTGGGCGTCTTAAGTTAGAGTTTCAGAATTCCTTCTGAAAAAGGACAAAAGAGAGACTTCCTGTCATTTCCATTGGTTTCTGCATGTGGGACCAATATGGGCAACACAAAGTTTAAACAGATGCAAGTGTTCAGGGGAGGAGGCAGAGCCATGCCTAGTTTTACATATTCCGCCAAATCCAGATGGAATTAAATCAATCTCTCCTAAAAGCTTCCAGAGTAGCCTTGCACTGAAGTTACGGCACACTTGAATGGTTTATTTCACCAATATTTGCTTATGGAAATGAAGGGGAGTGACAGAGGGGAAGGAGGAGGGGTGTGGAGGAGGGGTTTGGGGCCGGGGGAGGCTCTGACCGCAGCACAACACACCAGTAACCTTGTCTGATGTGATCATTAACCTTTCTGGAAAAGGCAGCTGGCAGTTCTCCGAGGTTTGTCATTAGAATGTGAGAAGAGCCGCACAGATATTGCACAGGCTATTCAAAGAAGTTTGATTTACTTTGAGAGCTACTGCTCCATTTCAGGGTGGCGGAAAATGAGATTTCAACAATTCTTTTTTGTATTTTTAATTTTTATGATGAGTCTTCTTCTTATCAACGGACAGAGACCAGGTAAGACTTTGATATATTTGTAAGAGGAACTTGTTTTTATGCCTGCTGTTTGTCCATAACAGGCTCTGAGCGTGATTGTGTTTATGCTGAAAATCTCTTAGGCATGTTTGAGGTGTGTAGGACTTCAGAAGTATTTTTTCTATCTGGATATTTAAAAAATAGCTAGATATTAAAATGATGATAAATATTTTACCACTATTTTTCTAATTTAAAGACCCCTTAGCTATTGTTGATATGTTGTTCTTACAAGTAAAATGGAACGGAAACGTTTGGTCTATTATAGATTTTTAGGTAAAATGCAAATCCAAAGCAGTTTATTAAAAGAATATGTTTGCTGGCTGGAATGGGTTAATGTTAACTGAGTTCAAAGCATATAAAAATCATCTGGCAAATTGTAGATGAATTCTTAAAATGGGTCAATAGCTATTTCCAGTTATATAATTAGGTGTGCCACTTAAAACAAGAAAATACAATTGTAGTATTATTGTGCTTAAAACCCAAAAGTGTCAAAAATATGTATGGTCAAGGTAAATATTAATTTACTTGAAATATTTTTTTAAAATGATATCATTTGTGTTATTCTTATCCAATAGAAATTTAGTAAACAGTTATTCTAATGTGCTTTTACTTCAAAACCAAATACCTAAGGTTTTGTAGCACTAGCAAGTAAAAAAAAAAAAAAATAGGAAGTTTCTGACTCAGGAAAAAGCAAACCTAAATATAAATAGAAAGGTATTTATATTTATATCCAAATATGTTCTATTATTCACTTGATGATGTGATTCTCCATTTAGGTCAGAAAATGGTAAGTAACTGGTTAAAAAGCCAGTCTCTGCCTCTTAGTTAATCAGAAGTTTGATCACTGAGGTTATTTCAAATGGAATCCCCTGGTGTGCCCTTTTACATAAATAAGAAAGAAGTTCCAAATTAGCAACTCAGAAAGCATTCCTCCTTAATGTTTACAACAATTGCTATTCAAACCATTTCTACTTTTCTGAAATATGGAACACTTTGGACAATGTTCTTATAAAATGTGATTAATTCACTACATAAAATACAAGGTCCAGGAAATGGGAGGGAGGGTATCTCCATCAAAACTCTATGGAACTCTTAAGATTGGAGAAATTAACGGAAACCAGTGACTACACAGCAATAATTACAGCCAATAAAAATTGTTTTAAGGCAGACAAGGGATAAGATTTCCTTTAGCAGTTAATAATGACATGCACTAAATTTAAAATCTGTTTTATTATAGAGATCAGTTTATAACTAATGAAAATGTTTCATCTGTTTCTTAACTGTGTAAATAATATTAAATTTCTTTGAAACTGAAAAAAAAAATACAAGGTCCAGGAACATTTAGGAATAAGATATGTAGATGGAGGAAGATATTGCTATTAACATGAACTGCTGGGAATATACCTTGTGTATTTGCATCACATTAATTTTTATATCATAATCACATCTGAACAAGTAGCAGATCACACTATAATTTAATTCTAAATATTTTCTTGCATCCCCCAGACTAAACAACAGTTCATTTTCTGAAAAATGAAACTAATACTTCTCTTTTTTTCCCTTCAGCTAATTTGGCAATGAGAAGAAAACTACACAGACTCAGCTGCCATCAGAGGAGATGTATGCCTCTCCATTCACGAGTGCCCTTCCCCTGAGGTATTTCTGATGGAAAATAGCTTTCCTAAATTTAGGCAACATTCCAGATTGAAAATAGGTACCAAAGAATGCCTATTCATATTTTGTTACAGGTGATAATGGACTTATGGTAATGTCAGTGTAAGAGATGCATGCTAACAGATGAAAGAGTGAAACAAGCTGGAGGGGGCCAATGGGGGTAAAGGAGGGACATATGTGATACTTTCAACAATAAGGAATTATTAAAAAAAAAAAAGTGAAATAACATGATGATTGAAAATAATTTAATAGGATAGATAAGGGAAATGTAGGAAAATCTTGATAATTGTTGAATCTGAATGAGAATTATATGGGGATTAATAATATTGTGTATGTTTGAAAATTATTATTTAACTATCAGGCACCAGGAGAATATAATTATGAAAGTTTCTCTTGAAACATGTGTTTTGAAAAACACTTAATAGCTCCTTAGGTTATCCAGTACAAGTATATTTCCCATTAAGACCACTGTGTGCTTCAGCATATGGATGAATTTGCCCACCAACACTAGGTGAATGATGTGCTAGCCTCATTATGCAGTTTATTTTTTCCTGAAAAATATTTCTTTTAATATGTAAAATCAACAATATTAATGGCATAGCAACTTTAGAGCCTCACTCATAGAACTGGTCTTGATAGTTGCATTTTTAAGGTTAAATTCCAAATAGATTTCTGCTCCTCTCCTCTCTTTTTTGTTGGGGGGGGAAAAAGATAGTTAAAAGACCTATGATTTTACACCACCACCAGTAATACCGTCTGAATCAATCAACTTCAAACACTGCCCCAGTTTAAGTTATTTCATACCAAAAATAAATAACTTGGCATTCCATTGTAATTATTTTAAGCTAGTTAAGTCATAAAATATATCTTCCTAAAAAAAATGCCAAAGAAATATTCCCCGGCTGGTTAACACATAAGCAATTGCTGAATTTGCTTATTCATTTGACCAATAGATTGTAATGTTTATGGCATTATTCATGAAAGAAATGTACCTGTTGTTTAATATGTGGTTTTCAGACCCAGTGAAAGTCCTGAGTAGAACATGAAAAGAAGGAAGAGCAATTCAGTAATAAGCATTTCACTAGTAAGCATTTATCATGGGGATTAAGACAAAAAGCCAAGTTCTCTGTGCCTGTAATCTATAACAAATTACTATTTGCTATCAACATATAAAAAATAAATTTGTGGAAGAATCCATAAAGATACAGTAAGTTCTTGAGAAAACAATTAGTAGAGGCTCAAACATGCTTTAAGAGGATTTAATATTTAAAGAATCCTTTGCTGTGTGTTGATAATGCATTCCCCTCTCACATCTAAAAAATAATGGTAACATTTGTGCTGAGGAGGAGTGGAGAAGTTCAAGATTTTCCCAGCACTCCCCCACAAATAACAAAGAGGAGAGGAGGTATTTCACAATAGCAAGGGAATTCCTGCATATACAGAGCAAGATACCTTACATAACTACGAATAGAAGCTCTTAGTGAGCCACAGGTTATATTGGCTTTCTCTACAAAGCACATGCCATAAAAACTAGTGCTTCAAGTAAACAAAATAGAGTTGAGAAATTTGAATTGTCAAAGTTAAGGAAAAATTCTGACCTACAAACCAGATTTGTAAATGAAAGGGAAATTTCAGTGAAGGCCATATAAAACATTTAATAATAGCAACCTTTTACAAGATTAGGCTGATTCCTTTAAAGAACTGCTCAGTTTACAGCATTCAGTGTTTACACTAGTCCTACATTCCAGCTGTGGTTCTTTGAAGAAGGTATAAAAGCCTTATTTTGGAATCCAAAGATAGTATAAGAACCAATGCAAGATAAACATTAGATAATTTTCCAAGATCTTGCTGAACCAGGGCTATAACAAGTGCTACCTTCAAATTTGGCAGCACAGTTCTCACTGTCCCACATCTTTGCACACTTTTTATAGGTCTTGCAACAAAACATCTTGAACACTTGTATACTGGGTAAAGGCACACTAGACCAAAGTAATGGAAGAACTCTGAGGCAGAAGAGCCTTTTCATTTATTCCCTTCTATTTTCCTACCACTTTTTAGATAAAATCACATGGGGCTACATGATTCAGTTAGGGTTAAGTAAAAGTGTAAAAGGATAGGTAAGGTAAATAGTTGACTTCAGAATTTTTCCAGATTAACCCTTTACAATGGTTTAGACTTCCAAATCACTTAGTGGGAATGTTCTATTACCTTGAATATCAACTTTTTCAGCTTCTCGAGTCCTCTTCAGTGAACTCCAGCAGGATTTCCTAACAATTAAGAAGAAATAAACTTAATCAAATAGAAAACCTATGCTGCATACAATTCATTTTCTTGAATTTTTTTCCCCTCACAGAAATATTTCAGCATCCCATTCAGCCCTGAGTGAATTAGATTTGGGGAAAGCAAGAGAAAGGGTGTCAGGAATTCCAAGCTACCAGGTTAATATAAGAGCTAGAGTGGAAAATGGGGTAGAGGTTTTAGACTAATGATTTCCCCTTTCCAACAGTAAAATCTTACTACCATAATACTTTTACTTAAATGTGTACTCTAGATAACTACAGTATTTAACTATTAGTACATGCTTTTTAATAACTATAATACATTTTCATGGTGTAAAATTTTTTTCCAGCCGAAACCGGTTTGGCTTAGTGGATAGAGCATCGGTCTGCAAACTGAAAGGTTCCAGGTTCGATTCCGGTCAAGGGCATGTTGACTTTGGTTGCGGGCACATCCCCAGTAAGGGATGTGCAAGAGGCAGCTGATCAATGATTCTTTGTCATCGGTGTTTCTAACTCTCTATCCCTCTCTCTTCCTCTCTGTAAAAAATAAATAAAATATATTTAAAAAAAGATTTTTCCCCAACAGTATAAAAGTATGTAAAGTCAAAATCTTCTCACTCTCTTGCCCATTTTCACTTACTAGAAGTAATGGCTTTGAAAAGAAATTTGGTCAAGTTACCTTTTATAAATTGAGACCAGATAATTTTCTCTTGCCACTCTTTTTAAATTTCTTTTTAATTTATTAATATGCCATTTATAATTTCATTAATCAATGGTGTATATACAGTTTTATAATTGTACACCATTGGTTGTACAATTTTATAATTGCTATCCTTGATTACTATTCAAAATGTCTAGTTCTCTATTTTCTGCCTTATTCTTACCCCTCAAAGTTGATGGATCTCCTACTTCCTTGACCAAATCTCTGGCCTGCCTCCTTTCTTTTCACAAGTGTCCTATTGTTTTGGCTCTTCTTGCTCCATTCTGCCTTTTTGGCTGAACTGAAAGCCAACTTTGCCTTCAGCACAGAATCTCCACTTTAGCAGGGCTCATCTCATCAAGTTTAAACCTTTCTCCCTGACTAGGGTTCTCTTCAAATACCATTTTCTGTATAAGTCCACCCAGATCCACCTAAAAGTAAACTCTTCAAGTCCTCCCCCTCAAATATTTCTCCTGTTTTCTCAAGATTTTGAGAATTGTAAAGATAGCATATATTAGATGTTTACTATGTAAGATTCTATATACTATAAAATACACATTACTGTCTCAATGTGATTTTCTGAACACAATGCCCTAATATTTAGTTCTAGTTGGTTTACAAGGATTATCAATTCTATCTTCAAATATTTTTAAAATATGTTTTTATTGATTTAGAAAAAGAAGAAAGGAGAGAGAGGGAGAAACATCAATGATGAGAGAGAATCATCAATCAGCTGCCTCCTGCATGCCCCACACTAAAGATTAGGCCCACAACCTGGGCATATACCCTGACAGGAAATGGAACCAAACCGTTACCTCCTAGTTTATAGGTTGATGCTCAAGCACTGAGCAATGCTGGCTGGGTTTGAAATATTTTTTTTTTCAATTTTTCCTTCTTTTCATCTCCATTACTACCAACTTAGTGCCTATTATATCTCCCCAACATGACTTTAACACCTTAACTGAACACTCCAGCCTCCAGTTCTGGCTCTGGAAAGTCTGTTCTTATCATCTGATCTTTCCAAATTAAATCCAGTTAATTCACACCAAGATTAAAATCCTTATGTGTCCCTGTAGCCTTCAGAAAATTAGAACTCACATAATTTAATCTTACAAATTGTTCCTCTTCAACGTCATCTGTCACTGCTTCTCCCCTTCCCTTTCCCAGAGGGAATAAGAAAGAATTGAGACTGTTTTAGACTTTCTGGTCATATAGTTCACTCACTGGTGATCATTGGTAAGCCACTTATCCTTTCTAAGTCTCCTTCCACTTTCAGACCTGAAAGAGGGAACTAGCAATAGTACCTAATCTTATCATAACTATCCCTAGCACATAATAAATGCTAAATAGTGGCTAAAATTTTTATTACTACCATTATTTTAAAGTCAGTCAATTCTTCACGTCTTGCTACACTTTTGCCTTCTATGTCCTTACTTCTTTCCTTCATTATCAATTCATCCTTCAAGAAATCCCTACCAGTTATATCAGATGCCCACTTTTTAAAAAAGTATATTTTTTATTGACTTTTTTACTGAGTGGAAGGGAGAAGGATTAGAGAGTTAGAAACATTAATGAGAGAGAAACATCAATCAGTTGCCTTCTGCACACCCCCGACTGGAGATATGCTCGCAACCAAGATACATGCCCTTGACCAGAATCGAACCTGGGATCCTTGAGTCTGCAGGCTGACGCTCTATCCACTGAGCCAAACCAGTTAGGGCAGATGTCCATTTTTTCTCTCAGCATCATTTGTGTACTCCTGTCAAAGTACTTGACTCACTGCATTATAGTAATGTGTTAACTGACTGTACTCTTCCCCTCTGCCCTCAGCATCCTGAAAGCAGAAGGCAGAGTGTGTTGTTCTGATTTTGTTAAATTAATATTTGTTAAGTGGAATACCCAGAAAACAAAATGGTAAGCCTTTATTCAACAGCTGACTAGAGATAAATTGCAGTAAATAGGTTTATTACTCATGGCATGCCTGGAGCGGCCAAATGGAGAG